GGACTTGAGTGTGTCACTAATATATCGGCAATAATAGGGTGAAAAGAGAGTAGGAGAAACTTAATACTTTGGTAGTGACTTACATTCGTTTTATTTACCATATTTTTATTATGACGGTTCAATTTAGTGCTGTGGCCGCTGCCGTCGGGTAGGCAGCGGTGTGGACGGGGCACCAGCATTATAGAGATTCACGCCGGCCACCGTGCTTCCGCCGTGTAGGCCCTGACTTTTATCACGAGCACTGCAGAGCGGTTCTTCTTCTATCTGCTCATCGTTCTTGAGAGGGAGCGCGAAAATGGTTGTTGTAACTTGTATCTTTCGTTGCATGCGTGGCGTGTCGCAGGACCTCGCACCTTCATGCTTGCTCGAGACAGTTAGAAGGGAGTTGTGTATTCAGGCCGCGTGTAGCAGACTGGCAGTAATTTGCAGTATTTTCACGAGGTGTGTGGTGTGGTGGTGGAGTGCGGCGAATAGTCAGAGGTGGGCTATGCGCGGTGTTGGACGTGACGTCCATTCAGTGCTTGAAGAAGGGGGCGATTGGTGGGGTTCGAAGAGAGGATAGGTCGCAGGAGAAGCGGCAAGAGTGGTGAGAGAGGAGGGTAGTGGAGAAGGCTGGGGGCTGGAGAGAGGAGGGGAAGGGGAGACGAGGGCTACTGAGAGAATGGCAGGTAGGCGAAGATAAGAGGACGCTGGGGAGAAGACTGACGTGTTGGGTGGGACTACGTCGATGAGGAGAAGTGAGAGTTACTGGTGCAGTCTGTGCGAGAGAGGAGAAGTAGTGGAGAGGAGGGATGAACCTTTCTTTTGCAACTGCGTGGATTACTGACGTTAAGGTGCTGTGGACTGCCTTTGTGTCGTTTCACTCTCGCTTGCTGAGAACGGAACAAGGTGTGTTGGAGAAGGAGGAACTGGCTAGAAGCTTTGGTCGTGCTGTCGAAGGAGTGATTTGGAGGCTTGGACGATTTGCGATGAGCAGAGTCATGAGTAGGTGGAGTGGATTCAGGGAGGAAGCTGGTCGGTGAGAGGAGGACCGGTGGGTAGAGTAGAGAGGTTTAGTGGGCATAGGTGTTGGCGTGGATAGCGTTTAATGGCTGCTTTTTTCGCTAGTAGTTTAAATGTAAGGATGCGAGCGTGCGTAAGGTTTGCATTTTATCCTCCCATGTCCATACTATTCACCATCGTGCGCCTCTCTCCACGCCTCTCTCACATGCTGCTTCTCCCTCCTGTTTCCACATCAGGTTACTCACTCTCGCCCTCCCCTCTCACGGCTACTTCTCCCTTTCTCTCCCTCATCTTTCTCTACCTCGCGCTTCTACCGCTACTTCTCCACGCGCGCTCGATCTAGCACCGTCTACTTGAGTGCTTGTTATAAGCCACAAAACACGTGAGCAAAAAATAGTGAGCAGAATATGTAGTCTTCCTGTTAATTGCCGTGAGTTATTTTTGACACATCCCGGTTTACACACGTTTAATGACGTTCCTTTTTGCATTGAGCGTCAAAGCGGCTGAAAGCATTTAGAAAATTCAATTGCAGTCTATGTCGACAAGAGACTAGCCAGCATATGTAGACTTATACGTGAGATGCTCGGTCGGTCGTAGGAGGCGGGAAATAATACTCTTTCTCCTGTGATGTGCTTATATGAGTGATGATCGTGATGACGAGTCTTTGCGCACTACTCTTTGACGCCTCTCTGCATTTTTTGCTGAGCCAGGCTAGCTATATAGTCGCGAGTTGTAAAATGACTGTTACACGTTCTATAATCTTGTGTGCTGACGCTCGTATCTGCTTCTGTCGCTCCACCGGCGCTGGCAAATTTAACTTAGGCATAAGTTTTTGATAGAGCATTATCTCGTGTTACATCTCTGCTCAATCGCGTGCCTACTCCGTTATTTATCTGATTTTACAAAGTGCTCTCTATGATATTCGATTGGTATTGCGACAATTCACATACGCCTGCAGTACCCTCGCAACTCTTCTACATGCCATATCTCTGTGGCATCATGCAATTTGTTCTCTCATACTTTGACTTCAATCTTCACAAGATTAATTCCCCGTGCAGTGTAATCTCGTTAATGATGTACGTCGATCATTCATATGCTGTTCTTAGCTTTGCGTAAGTTAATGATAATTTTTCTAATTGAATGTATAACTCCAATAAACGTCTTATTAGACGAAGTCCCAGTTGATGAGTGTATCGCTATTACTGATCACTTTTGCAGCTTCATACAAGTACGTCTGAAAATGCACTCTCTTGGCTTGTATAGGGGTCATGTCGATGTATATCTTTAGGTATATTTTTCTTTATGGACTATGTTCTTGGTAAATACATGACTTTAGTTTATTTTTCTCATACAGACCGAAGTAGAGGCGCTCGTGGCAACTCGCATAATTGATCGACGCAAGAGACTCTCCGGGTGTCATATAAATCGAGAGCTGATCCAGTAATTCATAGCCAGTTTTCTTCGAGTAAGAACAAGTTTCGTGGAAGTAATACATTGGATAGAGTGACGATGCAGCGTTGGTCAGCATGTCTGTATAGCGTAATCTAAATATCCTAGTGTGACCCAGAAAGGTTTCGTTAAAAGAGCACTGTTTGCATTTCTTAGGTGTTGCACTCAAAATTTCTTCTACTTTTACGTTAATGTCTGAGCCGGTTACATTACACCGATTTCGATACGTCTATGCATCCATTGGATGTTGTCTTTTAGTTCACTCCATGTCTACGCGATGTTGCATTTGGCGGTACGGAACGTTTAACGACGGTTCAGATGGGGCGCACGGTGCGTGCTTTTAGTGCGATCGACGTTAGAACTGGACACGACTCATCCGTAACGTTCGTGACTTCAGGCATGACTGGTCTGAAGCCTAGCACGTTACGCAGGTTAGGTCTACGCGCTTTTTGGGCCGTCATCTCCTCGCGCGTTATTAGGCTCTATCGACGAGCGGTGCGCGGCATTTCGTGGCACGTATTCTTGCGTGACCTGGGTACAATACCTGTCAATGGCTCACCGGTGGTTAGTGAGCTTAACTGTCTCGTATTACATATTTGAGTAGCCGCGCCGAGTCAGTTTTGTTTGGGGCCAACCCTCTCTCCTCTCCGAGTGCTGGCGAGTACTAATACAGCGAATTAGCATAGTGCTCCCACGCTGTTGCGAGTGTGCATTGTTCTTCGAGTGTTGCGCTTAGGATGCTGCTGTCACTGGAAGCATATTACCGATGCTTTGTGCGTGGGACGGCGTCGGTCAGGGTGTCCGATGTTCAACGGTGTAGCTGGTTTGGGCTTGCATCTATTGGAATTTATTCGCCTGAGTGATGGCTTTGGTGCATGAGTACACCGTAGACACGCCGCTGTGCACAAACAACAAAACTATAGAGTTGAATTAAAACAACAAAACTATAATTTTGCTGTTGTTGCAGAGGAGCACTTGAACGGCATTTCCAGGAAATTATTGGTAATAATAGGCAAAAGATAGTAAAGAAACATTGACTTTGGTAGTACATTTCGTGTTTATTTACCATAATTTTATTATTGAAACGTTCCAAGCTAGTGCCTGCGGGAATGGCCGTGTGCTTCCTCTTCTTCGTTCTGCTCTCATCTCTATCTCTCTCTCTCACCATCACGCTCTTTCAGTCTCTCTCTCCTTCTCTTATTCCAATCATTACCTCTGCTTTGGACACCATCAATGCGTGGTGTTTTTTCGTGTGGCTGAGCAGGACCATAATAGCAGGAGTAGATAATATCCCCTGATAATAGGTAACAGAAAACAGCGGCCAGTAAGTAGTAGTTGTTTTCTAGATCAATTAATAGATGCATTGCTAAATAATTCTGCCATGTAAAGACATAATGCTTCACACTAAGCTCTTGTTAAACCGAGATTACTAAATTAATCTGATTATACCACAGTTTGAACGGAATCGTTGCACACGGATCTATTGTATATCAACTGCAAACGACAATATTGACAGGTAACTCGCAACGTCTGTACTTCCTCTAGATAAAGAAACTGCAAGATCCGAAGGTGTGGCTGGACGCTGCCACCCAGATCTTCTACTCGTTAGGTCTAGGCTTCGGCTCCCTGATTGCGTTTGCCAGCTACAACCCGCCGACGAGTAACTGCCGGCGCGACGCCATTTTAGTGTCCATCATCAACTGCGGGACCTCGCTGTTCGCTAGCATAGTCGTCTTTGCTATTCTCGGCTTCAAGGCGCTCAGTATGCACACGACCTGCCTGCAAGAGTGAGCCGTATTATTCAAATTCCTAATACAGTGTTCCCTGCTTTAAGCCTGCCGCACACGCTGTGTTTTGTGCTGCGCCATCGGCCACGCGTGGCTGATGGCGCAGCACAAAACACAGCGTGTGCGCGTGCAAACCAGCGATTTCTTGCGTGTGGAAAATATCACACGTGTTTGATATTTTCTTCCACGTGTGGCAGATTGAACAGCGTGTGCGGAGTGGCTGTGTGGATAACAAGGAGAGGAAGCGCCGCCATATCTGGCCCAAATATTTGCCATATTTGGTCATATTAGTCCAGAACAGATTATTGTTCTATTGTCTCTGGGGGACGGATCTGCACAGCCGTTTCAGCTGATTATGGTCCATAGATGGCGTCCTTGAGGCGAAAAGCACACAGCCAATCCGCTTCCTCTCCTTGTTGGCTGTGTCAAGTTCCACACCGGCTCTATGTAACCGACCAATAGCAGCAGGTCAAGCGAGTCACGTGATCTTAACTTGCGGTTGCAGCGAGGTTGCACTGCGGTACACGCACGTACACGCAGATACACGCACGTACACGCGGGTACACGCACGTACACGCGGGTACACGCACGTACACGCACGTACACGCGGGTACACGCACGTACACGCGGGTACACGCACGTACACGCATGTACACGCGGGTACACGCAGGTACACGCGGGTACACGCACTTAGCTGGGAAAC